TTCAAGTGATTGACTGTTGTTTGACATCCCAGTATGGCTGCGCTTGATGTGTATGTTGACAAGGTGCCTACCTGTCTATTACCCACTACCTCGTCCATACTGGCTCCAGGAGACAGTTGGTCGTTGCTGGAGGGGACGGAATGCACGGTCCTTGTTGTCGTGCTATGCTCGAAAAATGGTTCCATGCACTCAGTGTGGAGCGGACGACGGTCCATCCACCGCCTGGTGTGTGATTGATTCCCGAATAAAACATGCTTGTGTTTGCCTGTGAAGGAGTGTATCGGATTTGTTAATGTAACGTGGCTCCCATCCACATTCCTCCCGGTCTTATTCCTTCCGGTTTACACTGCATATGGGGTGTGTGTTTGGAGCTGTGTGTGGTGCAGCGCAAGCCATCCATGGTCCCTCTGTAGGCGCAGGCGTCCTGTGGCTTGCCACAGTGACAGGCGAATCCGAAACCGGATGCCGCCAACCATCTATATTTAATCTATTTACAGACAATGTGCCATCAAACCGTGGAGAAATAAAGGGGAAACGGGACACAACAGGAGAACGAACCGTTTTTTGTTTTGCACACCCCGTTTTTAGCTTCTTTGTGTTTTTGAGTTTTTGTGTTCGATTAGACATGAACTAACAAAGTTTGAGACTGAACTACACTGTCGCTACTGATGTCTGTTACGCGCCATAACCTCCAGTGTTTCCAACCACTGGCAGTCCGAGTCACTTGGTCCCCACCCCGGAAGTTGGACAGCTCCGATTGGTGCTAAGCTTGAGGTTAGCTTCATGCTCCTTCACCTCATTGGTTGCCCACCGCGGCACATTTTCCACTCGTTTCCGGGGAGGACAAATAGCTCTCGACGGGGAATGCAATAGGCTGGCATGTGTAATACTTGGCCGGGCTAACGCATACGGTGTCGGCGAACAACATTTTGCATTCATGAGCTGTTTGCTCCAAACACTCGGTCTCGGACTTCTGTGTTACTTACATGATATTGCTATCACACGTGAGCTATCCTACCTGAACAACGATTATCAAAAACTGGCAATCGCTTCATTTCTTACGAGCGAATAGACCAGGTCTCACAGCCGTACAAGAGGACCGCACGTACAGAGGCAATGTACGCCCTGCCCTTCAGCTTGAGACTGACATCGCGACGACGTCATAAGTGTCTGTCTCAGTCTGATGAATGCAAGGCGGGCCTTTGCGATCCGTTGTGAGATCTTATCTCCAACACTGCCGCAACTCCCTAAATAAGTGAACCGGGGGAATTGTTCCAGGACATCATCAGCGGTGGTGAGGGTAGGCACAAGCATCTACCAATCCTGGAGTCATATTTTACCTTTGCCTTGGGTGAAATACAGGCCATAATTAGACGCCTCCATCGCTAAGCGGTTCAAAGCGCTTTGGACGGCTTGTGGATCGTCCCCAAGGAAAGTGATGTCATCAGCGTACTCCAAATCCGCGACTCTGTCACCTGAAAGAAACTCAATACCGCAGTTGTAATCGCCTTTCAACTCTCGTTGGATGACGTCTTCAACGGTAAATTGAAGAGGAAGGTGAAATAGGACAACATTGGCGAACGCCTCTGGTGACAGCACACGGAGAGGAAAGCCTATTTAAACTTTGACTTTGGCCGACGTGTGACTGTGGAGTTCCTTCGGGAAGGCTCCAAACTTGTCGGGCACGCAGGTCTTTTGCGTCAAATGCCGCTCGGATGCCCAAGAACACCACGGTTGTTGGCTGCTGGTGGACATGACGGAGTTCAAGAAGTTCGCGCAGTTTGATGATTTGGTCGATACAACCTCTGCCCAGACGAAAACCGGCTTGTTTCTCTCGGTAAACGCCCTCTCTAGTCGCTGAAAGTCTGCGTAGTAGAATATACCCGAAACTCTTTGACGCAACATAAATCAACGAATTTCCGAGGTTATTGGCGCATACTTCGCGAGAACCTTTCTTGTGAATCGGGACAATGACCGATGCTCTCCATGCAATTGGAACTTTCTCGTCAGTTCAAACCTTCGTGAACATTGATAGGATTTCGCTGACGAGTGCACTCTCGCGATCTTTAAATAGAGCCGGGGATAGGTTGTCATGCCCGGGAGCTTTATAACGCTTCAAAGATTGCAATGCACTTCGGATCTCTGCTTCCGTAGGAGGAATTGTGGGGACTGGCGAAGCACCATCCGAAGGAAACAGAGGTGTCCCAGTGGGCTGTGCTAGGTAGTTAAATTAGAAAACAAACTGTTCTGCCTAGTGGCACAAGCGCCTGTGTAAATTGGACATTTTCGTGCTGTCTGACTGGTAACCTGTGGATTGCGACCATTGGCCTTGGTGATGTACACGAACCTGCGCTAGTCTCCAGCCGATGCAGCGGCTTCCATCTCAACAGCTCGTTTTGACCCCCACGATCCACGGTCAAATGAAGACTTGATTCCAGCTATTTAGAGATAGATCGACGGAGTTCATTGTACTTCTCACCGGCTTGCACAGCCCATCGACGATCTAGCAGTTCCAAGGATCTTGCTGAAATCTAACTTTTGGCTGTGCAGCGGGTGAGGCCACCGCTGGACGAGCCGGCGGTCAGCATGGCTTGTTGCAAACTAGACCAGTGTTGATCGATGTACAGAGAGGGGAAAGTGAGAATTTCACGAAGGCTCTGTTGATACTGCGTTTTCACTTCTGGGTCTTCCAACTTCTATGTATTCAGTTGGCTTTGTTTGGACCTAGGTGAGCCACCGAAAGGCATGCAAACTGTCACACGCCAATGCATGATCAGTTTTAACGCAAGTTAACCAAAATGCTCTGTAACCGCGTACACTGCCGTGCCATCTGCGATTTTTGACTGTGATCAATTTGTGACCGGCGCTGGGTTAACGACGGAGGACGCCAGGTGGCATGCAAGGTGACGAGGGCTTATATTGGGAAGGAAACATTGGTGGTCAGAGCGAATATCATCAAACCCATGCAGCCCACCGAGGTGGCGTTCACATGGTAGCAACCGACCATTACGTGCGTTTAAGCATCATACCATAATGATGATCTGTGTTTCAGGCGCCCTTAAATGCAGCTCATGAAGATGTTGTTAGAACTGGTCCTTGACTGTATCCGAGCTGCGGTCAGTGAGTACGTAGGCGGAGATCACAAAAAGAGCACGCTTGTCTGCGTGATGTCTGCTAAACTTGTAAGAGCCACGGAGCCTGATAGCACAAAGGCGACTATTGTTTGGAATCCATTCAAAGCGAACGGCATCAGCTCTAACGCTGAGGGCGATCCCAACACCAACTTGTCCAGATGCAGCCGACTCAGCGTCACCAGAAAGACGAAGATAGAAGAGGCTGTGTGGTTGGACTAGTAACGACACCTGGTAGACTGTATTGGAATCCTAGAGTCGAGTTTCACTTAGGCAGCAGACATCAATTGCGAAGGTCTCCAGCGTGCGTGCAAGTCCAGCTTGTTGTCCGATCTGCATAAATGTACGCACGTTAAATGTTGCTATTTCCAACTGCATTCCAAGTTGCAGTAACGAAGATGACAGCTTCCTGTCGAAGGCTGTGTGGTTGCGTTGACGGGTGGCGAGAGGTAGGGTTGCTCACCGTTTCAGAATCAAGTAACATTGCGAGTGGCGTGTATTTGTAAGGTTGACATACTAGCAGGGCGGTGAATCATCATGAGAGCGGAAGAGGAGAGTACACGTAGCTGTGGGTTCCATGCTTCGTCAATAGGCGAGATACCACCATCCGGTTGCCTAGGCCGAAGTAGATGGGTTGTCTTATGGGACCACGGCCAAAGGGCCTAATCTACAATTGAGCAGTGCAAGATAAGGGTTTCGCATTTGTTGGAAGCCATCGATTGAATATTTAGTTCATACGCCTTTCGGGTTGCGAAAAGCTATACCATAGTCCCAACACTCCCGAAGTCCAAGGCAGAATCTAATCCTCCGATTGCCTGCCAATATACAGTGTCCCCAAGGAAGACAAGGGGCAGTGACTTTATTTGCTAGCGAGTCACCTCCGCCACGTCGTAGTGTTCTTAAGCACATCCTTGTGGTATTTTCTATGGAGAACGCTTGCCAGACGTAAACTCACCACCTCCTGGAACACTGCCGTCGGACCATTCGCCGGAACGGGAACTACCCGAACCGTCTCGCTGACACCACGGGGAGATAGTTCGGAAAGCTAGTCAATGTACTGTGGTGGTTCACTATTAATGAGTAGCATGGGGAGAAATGAGTAGGCATGATAAACTCAGGCAAATCATGTATCCCCGTGGACGACGAGCGCATATTGCACAAATCAGCCACCACCGATGCGTTGTGGATGAAGTGCGCAAATGAACCCGGCTGTTTTTTATGTTCGACCTATTATATGCCACTTGGATGTGCGTTCTCTCACACGCAACTCGTCTATATCGCGCTGCGTTCTCAACATTATGATTGTCTTAGTAGTTCTAACTGCGCCAGCTATAGTGGGGTGTTAATGGGAGCCAACTGTATTTTGTTGCATACCCCACCCATACTTTCCGCTGTGTGCATCACGCACCCTCGTTTTGCATTAACAGTAGATGTCGTAGTCTGTCTTTGCGTATGCGTTCGTGTCATTGCACGTTTCTTGACATCCCCACGCGAATCTTGAACGCTGTTCACCGCGTACACGCGCACACGCCCGTGCTTCTATTGATTCACAGCAATAACTAGTTGCCTCATTCAGCTCTTCACACTGGCGGTCTTCGTTTCCCCGCCCCCCCTCTCTGACTTGCAATGCGGGCTGTATTGTACATGACCCATGCAACTGTTAGTAGTCTGCGTGGCCGCACGGATCGTATCGCTGCTCAACTTGTACCACCGTTTTTTACACGTTCCTTCCTCACCCCGATAAGCTGATCGACACAACAGTTCTACCCTCCTTGTCCCTAGTGTCTCATCACATTGCTATCAATCATAACTTAAGGTTTCTCTATTAGGCATCTCTTACTTGTTCTATTCGGTGACATTTTGTTGCAGAATGCTGAATGCCTTCCCTGTTGCCTACCGCCGCTCATGGTTCGCTTGGCACCGGACTACGTGACGTCGGGCCATCTAAACTGGTACTATTCGCCGAAATCAGCTTTCCAACCGACAGCAGTGACCCCGCGCAGTGGCTCCGCTTTTACCGCCAGGGAGTGTCGAGAGTTCCTAGACCTTTGCTACTCCGAGTTGGATCGATCATTGCAGCAGCATCTTCGCAGAATCACCCACTATCGACTCAATCTGAGGCTTGTTGCCAAGTCATGGGTATGCTGTTCTTTTTGCTCTTTTTCTACGGAATAACTAATTCGCTGAGCACTTGATCATTTTTACCATCTTAATGTTACCCCGAAATTTTTTTACCAACCCTTTTGTTAAGCGCAATGCCCATTCTGACCCGCATCGTTGTATTTTTTTCTTGTGCTACGAATTCTTGAATGCATTCTGCTGAGCTTCTGATTCGCCCAGGCTGTTTTTGAAGGTGAAGTGTACGCATCTGTGTGTTGGGACTACGACATGCCATTTCAATCAAGGTAGAGATTTACTTTGAGACCAACTTCTGTCATCTGGATCGCGTATACTGCATGTGAGATACACCATTGGTGGATGAAACTCGACGCATATACTGTGCCTCCACGAGGAATTTCGTCTTTGTTAGTGCTTTTACGGTAGCGATAACTGGAGCTGGAAGTGGTACCGGAGACGTAGTGTTTTATAGTTTACGCCTTGATAACCAAATCACTGATCTCTGTAAGTATCGTTTGACTCTCGGCGTTTAGTAATTTTGGCTTTGTGTTTGAGGGCAATCGATGTATTGTTAAACTTCAACCTTTGATTTTCAATCCAACCATTTTGATCCACAAATCTATCTGCAATTCGTATTTTTTGTCGTTGGCTCCCAACGTTGAACTTCATGCTCTGTCCCATCAGTCGAGACGACTGTGGTTTATCAGTTGGGATTACGTATTACTGTGTGTATGTACAATCAGTGTCCCACGCAAGGTGTGATGATCTAACTATTGTGACACTCCTTGCTCATGGATTTCAATGTCTTGGTGATGAGAAGGTCCATCGGGAACGCGGTGTCTTATTTTCCAGTCTCTGGTGTAAGAGTATAGAGCTTCCGACACTTGTTGTAAGATACATTGTTGTGGAACTGGCAACACGATACATATAGCTGCTTGATCTTCTTAGTTTAAATATTCGAGGTCTGACCCGAAATTGCGAGACTGCTCACGTTACTGAAGAGCCATTTTTCATGTTTCACCGTACGTTCACTGTGCTCGGCCCTTCAGCAACTTCCCTATGCAGTGAAATTTTCACCCGTTTGGTCAACTTACTTGCGTCGGGAGAGCAGTTGGATGTGGTCATGTTATTCCGTTCCACCGGCAAACCTGGGATATCACCAATGATCAACACGTTACTATCGTTTCGTGTAAGAATTTCAACGCTGGCAGCAGAGACTTACGATAATGAATCCGTCGGTCGTGGGGGTCAGGGTTGGGGGGTACAACACCGAATCACTACCATTTCAGATACCCTCCCTGTGATAGTAATGACCGAGATCTCAATAGACACTGCTTGTTACAACCCGACAACTCGGCAGATACTCCAGATCAAACTTTTTATGTTGCCGAATATTCTGTCACATGAATAGAATGGAAGAGGATGAGAATTTCGCTGCGTCCCTTTACAGTGGATTTCAACAGAGTACATTCTTAAGTGTTTTTGCAGTCTCTGAGATGTGTACTTTTAACTCCGATACTGCAATTAGGTGACAATCGGTGCACTGGAACTCACTGACCTCCCCAAGAGCAAAATGGCACTCATGATGTTCTCGGAGTTCAACGTACTGCGTATCATGCTCTCCGATATCCAAGGAAATTGTAATGTCAGAGCATGTATAGATTGGACGGTTAAGCAATACTATTGTGTACAACTTTCTTGAAACATTTTTTGAGCATGTTAGAAAGAGACCCTCTAGTTTGTGAAGGTAAGAATGGATCTTACAACAGGACAGCGCGTCTTCCCACAATGCTTTACCAGCAAGACTGTTTTCCACCCCATTAGTTCACAACCTACCTAGCACAGTCTAGTCCGAAAAAGCACCAGACGCACTTCGCCCTATTGGGGCTCGTCATTGGTGCGCATTCCCTCGGTCCCCTACTGGGGATGGAACCCATGACCGCTAGAGGCAGATGCCAACTACCCGGCAGCTTAGACCACTGAGCCATGGGGGACGTTGGCTGAGCTGCACCATTTGCAACCTAATTGATATATAGCACCACCTTTTTTCCACTGCCACGCACGTTACTACCTTAGCAGATGACAGTGGCTAGCCTCGGAAGTTCATGTATTCCTCTCACTAGACGCTACATCCATAGAATTTTTAGAAATAGAAGAGGCTACATTTGCTATTACTAACTTGTAGGAGGGATTAATTGTCATGTTTCCGTCGCAGCTGCTCAGAAACTACATAGCACGGCCTAGTTCGGAAAAGCACCAGACGCGTTTCGCCCTATTGGGACTCGTCATTGGTGCGCACTCCCTCGGTCCCCTACTGGGAATCGAACCCATGACCGCTAAGGCACTTGCCAACCAGCCAGTCTTTTATTCTCACCCCACCCCATTTGGCACTGTGCGATTTATTTTCTCTTCTTCACAACCCAATTTTACGCTAAAACGGAACGCTTTTTTAACCGCGGAAGAAGTGCAGACTAGAACGGCGCAGCTTCTGCACAACCTAGCCCGAAGCGACATGCATAATTGTTTTCTGCAGTGTAGGATTTTCGTTCACTTATGAATGGAAAGATTCTGGTGAGTATTTTTGTTCGTTGCAATCAGCCGACAATTCAGATATATCGACCAGCTATCCGGAAAAGCACCATACGACCGTTTCGTCCTATTGGGGCTCATCCGTGGTGCGCATCCTTCGGTCCTCTGCGGAGGATCAAACTCATGACTGCTAGTGGCTCTTGCCAACTAGCCCGCAGCTTATGCAACTGCGTCATGGAGGACGGTATCTGACTATCATGAATTGTTAGCTAAATGCGATATAGCCCGACGCATCCACTGATGAGCCCCAATAGGGCGAAACGGCCGTCTGGTGCTTTTCCGGATAGCTGGTCGACATATCTGAATTGTCGGCTGATTGCGACGAACAAAAATAGGATTTTCGTCCTCATTGATGTGTTGTTTCGACGGCAACCATTGGCAATTGTACACGTTTGTTCACTAAGCAGAATTATGACATCATTGTAGTTGTTTTCCATTAGATAACTATTCCGACCTTGATTAGTGATACTATTCACCTTGTTGCTGAACAGAGGGACTCGCACTTTAACCATTGAGTGGATCGCTTTGGTGATTGATGAACACAGTCTCCACTATTCCTCTTCTACCTTCAGGATCTCTCTAACTTGAGTTTCCAGTCATACATGTCATTAGAAGGCAAAGTACCACCCGTCCACCGCGGTTTTTGATGTCGTCTCGCAACCGCAAGCGGTATTATTCAGTCTGGGGTGCTACCAGGACTTACTAACCTACCTGGAACTGGGAACTGATATTCGGTTTTCCGCGTTGCTGATCAGTGCGTGCCCCTTAACAATGCTAGATAGCTAGTGCACTTTTGTTTTGTCATTTGAACTCTTCACTGACGTTCGTTTGTTTTTATTATACACAGAAGTGACAAAAGCGTTTTGTACTTTCTGTCTTCAGCTGGACGCGATTTGCACAGCCATGTCTCAGTTCGTGAAGCTCGATTTGAACGCCCTACTGGCCGCTTGACTTACAATTGCAGTTGGTATTTGTCCCTTTCCCATTTACGCTGCGTCTCTGTACCCTGTTTTTTCGCTCCTGCTTTCTCTTTTTCTACATGCATCGATACAAACCGTCATCTGTTTTGTCCACCGTGGCCTTTCCACTTCTTCTCTTGATTGGTTTGGCAACGATTCTTCCCTCGTTTCTGCCAACACAGTTCCCGCGAGCCTCTCCCTCTCATTTCTGTTTGACCTCGAACCCCGCATCCAAAAAGCGGTTAGTATTAGTGTCTACTTGGCTAACTTTGCTACCACAACACAGCAAGCTGCATTAGCACCTGTGAGGTTACTATTGTCGCAAAACTCGGTCCTTCATGGACAAACGGTTTATTCAGCAAAGCGAGCTCATCAAAAATGACAGCCTGACAGGCATGTAGGAATCTCGTCATAAATAACTAAGCTATTTCCATAACTAACCACACTGCTGCACTCATGAGATTCTTCCTTCGAATCAGTTAAACAAACCTGCTCCAGCAAACCAATCAGCGCGTAGACGAAATATGCGCAGGCATCCAATCAACTGCTATGTTTGCTTGCGGCACGCTTTCCGCTTGCACCTACAATCCTATCACATCCTTCACTTTTTCGGAATCAACTGCATCGGTGTCGCAGTAGACTCCGTAGGCTCTGTTGTGGTTTCCATAGACTGTACGAATAGCCTGCCGGAATCTGTTGTGCTGCCTCCAACCGGTTCAACCCGCAACGAAATGAGAACGCCAAGATCTGCCGGACTGAGGAATTCATATTATAGGAGAGCATAGCGCAATAAATAGGTTGAAGACAATTACTAACACAACGATATTGGAGATGCCAATTAATTCTAATTAACACAACTCACACGGTTCAAGTTCAGGGTTCAACTTGCCGCTGACCCCACATTGATTCGCGTTTTCATCTCTACTCGAGTTCGAGTGTGAAATTCTGTTTCTCCATGCAAGTTACAAGATTTGCCCTGAATCAGTGACGCTAACTCGACTTGATACTCAGACAGCGCAATTTTCCTCGGAGTAGACCGTTCGAGACCTAACACTCCCTCTCCGCGTCCTCTTTACTGCCACTGTCGTTGTGAGCTCTCCGTAAGGCGTCACGTGTTTCGCTGCGGGTTCACCTCGTTCCCGGTGTCGCCTTATCTACATACGGTTCCTTCTGACTACCTTCCCTCCGGTACTGACTTCATAAGATCTTTCTCCAACCTTTGTGGTCACCAAACCTTTCCTCCATCGTTCGCTGACACCTGATATTGATTGGATCCACACTTCATCGTTTACTGATAGGTCCAGTAGCGCCCAGGTCCCGCGGTCGTAATACCGTTTGTGATCGGCCATGCGATTTCTTAAGCCCCTTTACAGTTGCGCATGCAATGGCAAGTGAGCGTGTAAGAGTTCAGCAGACGCAGGCATTAGGGTTCTTGTCCTGTTGTACAAACCTCGCACTGGACTGAGACCGATGTTCGGTAATGGCTTATTGCGAATCTCCAACAACATTAGATACGGATCCACATGAGTAGCTCTGGCTTTCGATAACAGTCTCTTGGCTTGTTTGACCGCTGCCTCTGCTTTTCCGTTAGACTGCCTGTGATATGGGCTGCTTTGTCGACGCGAAAATGCCCACTTGTTCGTGAAAGTATGGAGCACAGCACTTGTAAATTGTGGGCCATTGTCGGGGATCAGTTCCTCCAGTATTCCTTGTCTGGCGAACTGACATCTAAGCCTGCTGACGACTGCTTCCGTGGTGGTAGCGGTGAGTGGATCAATCCCGAAATAGTCAATGTAGCCCTCCACAGGGATTAAGTAGTCCTCCCCGTTGTCACAGAACAAGTTCACCGCTTCTTTCTGCCATGGTCTATGTGAAATCTCACGCAACATTGTTGGTTCCCTGACTTGGCGAGCCTCGTGGGACCGGCAGACTGAACAGCTTCATATATGGTCTCGGATTTGACTTGTCATTCCGGACCAGAACATCGGTTTGCGTGCTCTACTAATACTGTAGTTGACACCCAGGTGGGCTCCAGCATTTCTTTGTAAAGCGGCGGTGGGATCAAAATGTGATTTCCTTTAATCAGCAAACCGTCGTACACCGTTAGTTCATTCCGAAAGTTGGAGAACGGCATTAATTCCTTTGGAAGTTCTTCCTTTGTATCTGGCCATTCCCTCAAAATCACGTCGAGGGACATTGTGCAACGGTTTACTAGCTATTGACACGAGTGATTTATGATCAGTGTACACTGTAGTCTTCCTTCCCATTGTGTAGTCCTTGAATCGCTCCATTGCGTACACGAAAGCGAGCATTTCCTTTTCAATCTGCGCATAGCGCTGTTCCACCGCTTTAAGCGCATGACTGCGGAATTCCAAGGGTTTACCATCCTAATGGAGAACGGAACCTATTCCGCTTTGGCTGCTGTCACACTGCACCTCCTAAGGTATGGCTGGATCATGGTAGCCAAGCACTGGTGCACAGCTAATAAGACTTGATAGTTCTAAAGGCTGCCTCCAGCTTTTCTTCCCAACTCTACTCTACAACTTTGTGAGTCAGTCTCTGAATGGGCGTCATGATTTCAGCAATTCTTGGCCAGAACCGGCTCAGAGAATTCACCATGCCATTTAAACGACTAACAGCCTTGAATTCCTTAGGTTGTAGCTTCTCCTGCACTGTCTTGATTTTTCTGGGACCGATTTTATTCACTCAGATGTTAAAGCATGCCCGTGAAAAATCACTTCTGGTTTCTTTAACTCAACTTTCTCGTGTTTGAACTTTGTGTTCCTTGGTACGCATCGCTGCAAAAAGTGGTGTAGATTGGTGTCATGCTCCTGTTCGGTTGAGCCTTAAATCAGTACATTGTTTGCTACGCACGTTACCGTCTAGGTCGTCAACAGCTTGCAATAACCGCTTTTGCAATATTTCGCACTAAACCTTCAAACCACACAGCAAGCGTAGCCAGCGAAAACACCCGAAGGGTGTGGCAAACGTCGTCTGAAAACTGGATTCCTCCTCTATGATCACGTGGCAAAACGCCGATGAGAGATCAGCGTGGATGAAATACTTCCCCTTATCTAAACGCGGCAGAACATCGTCTAACGTTGGCAGTGTGTAGTGTTCTCTACGCAAAGCTTCATTCAACGGCTTAGGATCTATGAACAGACGCAACTCACCGTTCCTTTTCGTAACAATCGCGACTTGGCTAACCCAGTCTGTCGACCTTAGCGATTACGCCCAATGGCGTCAAATTACTTAATTCGCTGGCGAAGTTATCACGTAATGCAAACGGGACCCTTCTAACTGGCAGCGCAATCGGTCCCATTGACGGATCTATTGACAAATGAACGGAATCTTCAAACCGCCCCAAAGCTGGGTTAAACACGGATGGATACTGTTCACGAACATCTGTCCTCACTTCACATACATCCACAAAACGATCATGGTTAAAATGAATAAATCCAAGACATTGGAAGTAATAAATGTCAAGAATCGCCGCGAGCTCATCCTCCACGACCACAAATTCCAACTGATGTGATGAGCCGTCTTTGGGATTGATCATTTTGATTGTGACCAAACCTTTCGGCTGGAGTGTGGAATCGTTCCACATGCGCAGGACCTCCTGAATTCCTGGGCACCGTTTCACTGGAAGGATGTTTCTGGTGGCACCCAAGTCCACCCGGAAACACACCATCTCGTCACCAACCAATAAACTTGCATAGACGCATCTTTTTGGTCCCATCTGCGACACGTTGCTGATTGGATGTTAAGAGTCTAGGGGCGCTGTGTCACGATTGAGTTCATCACCTTCGAAGACTGACAACATCGAGCGAAATGGTTCCGTCTGCTGCATCTGGCACTAATTCGGCCCCGTGCCGGACATTGATCGCGATCCTTCGGGTGTCGCGCGGCACAGAATTTGCAATTTTCGTGTGTCTTGAAAACAACCTTCGCAGTCTTGTCAAATAAACTGGTTACGGCGCATAGCTCTGCTTCAGTCGGAAACCGCATTTGCTAGATGTGGTGTGCAATGGATGATTCACTGTGGCATATATCAAGATATTGTCTGAGCGATAACTGCCGTTGCCGCAACAGCTGCTCGGTGATCTTTTCATCATCGATTCCCAGTACAATTCTATCCCGGATGGGACTGTCAGCCATACAATTACAGAAATTACAGGAACGAGCTAGGATCTCCAGCCCCATAACATAGTTCTCAATAGTTTCGTTTGGGCGCCAGTTTCGGGTAAAAGAGAGATACCGTTGATACGTCTCGTTAGTCTTGCCTTCGCAGCAATCACCGAATTTTCGGATGATAGTTTGCAGATCAGCTGAGTCTTCGTCCTTTTCCTACGGCATCGTCTCCAAGACGTGTCGTGCTTATCTCCGATGATCGTATGTCTGAACATCGCCAATCGATACGCCTTCGGTTGCTCATCCAGCCGTACCCGTACACAGAAATCGACCCACTTGCTTTTCCAGATTCTCCAATTATTGACCACAATCTGTGCTTCCATATTTAGCAGATCAGGTAGTTGCGCTCTAATCAGCAACTAAGCACCATTGGGTGATCTTGGCTTTGTTTTCTCCGACACCATCTCCTTCAGGGACAAACGCTTTATACAGCAAAACTAGCTCAACAAACATGAGAAGCATGTAGGAACCTCGATATAACTAAGTCATTTCCACACCTAACGACGCTGCTGCACTCATGAGATTCCTCCTTTGCATCAGTTAAACAAACCCGCTCCAAAGAACCAATCAGCACGTAGGCGAAATATGCGTAGCTGTCCAATCAACTTCTCTGTTCACTTGCGGCACGCTAGCCGCTTGCTTACACAATTCTATCACAAACAGCACCTCTATTCTCCTCTCATATAGCACACTGAACCTTGTCCTGATGAGGCTTGCGCTCCTTCCAGCGAGTAGGTTGTATCAGGTGTCTGCCTAATTCCGTCCCACTTCGAGGTGGGTTGGTTGCGGATAACACGCACATCTACCCTAAACTACCACGAACGTTGCCAGCAACTTCACCTAGCCCTTCTAGCTGCTAAGCGAAAGCTGATATTCCTGCACAATTTGCTACATCATAAAACATACTCCTGCTGGTCTATTTTAGGGATGAGGCTTCGCCAAAAAGCCTTGTATCAATGGCTGTAGAACAACCACGCGTTATTACTTTTTCCACGCTAAATACGTCTTCTTGTGGAATAGCATGTCAACCGTACTCAGTGCATGTGAAAACCCTTAATCCTTCCAAACCAAACTCGATAATTTCTCTGATCTGTAAGTGGTATCATCCATGTTTTCATTCGACAAATCGCTTGATGAAATATTACACGATGAACCAAAATATTCAGAAAGATAGAAACAGCATC